CCCCCACAGGAGAGTTTCAAAAAATCCCTTCTTAGTGTACATTCTCATGACGTATCCTAACTGTGTACCAAATTTCAACTTTCAACTCCTAACCGTTTGGGCTCTGCGCTTATTACTATTATCATCATCAACCCATCTTGATTATATTATAAGATACAGCTTTAGAGATAATTGTGAGACTGCAGATTTTAAAGGAATTTTTAAAATCAATGTTAAAATGTTTTTTTTTTTTTTTTCCAAACTATAAACATTCCCAATAGAAAAAACTCTCCTTGCAGAGTATCGGATCAGATGTCACCATTAGTTTCAACAATCAAGTGGGAAAGTTGACACAGTCGTCAAATAATACAAGTCATTACACACCTGCAGAAGGGTCATCGTCAACAAAGGACGAGCATGTGACCCCTTTTCCACCATAATGCTATAAAAGCAACAGCCACTGAAAGCTCAAGTCAATCAACACAGGAAGTTATTCTTGAACTAGTGTCCATTTTGGTCACCTGTCCCAATCCAGTCCGAGAAGATGACGGTAGAAGACATCAAGGACTTTCACTATTTCCATAACCATAACTGGTCGTCGCATATAGCTCTCCATCTACACAGAGGTAATTATGACCAGTCTGAGAACTCTCTCTCTCTCAGCAGAAATAGGCATAGCTGCTATAGAGTAGCCTTGTTGTAATTACAAATTATTGTAACTGCATTTAGCCCTATATTACCTATATATATAAATGTGTTTAGCTTGGTATATCCTCTTGTATTTTATAGTTTGTTTTATTCATTAAACCTTTATTTGTTATGTTAACCTATCATCTGACTTATTCGGCACACGAACACCTATCGGCTTATCCAACCCCCTCACCACTCAATTAAAATCCATCCAGTGACAATGTGAGCAGTCTTTGCAGACTCAACGTGTAAGTGGCAATTAGGGAACTAACCCTGTGCCCTTGTAGTCTCACATAATCTATGCAATCATTTAGAACAATGGAATGACATGATAATTATAAACAGTGAAAGTGCATATCTAATCTTAAAAGAAGATATATAAATTCACAAAACTGCTAATTATTCTACAAGTATTCCAAAAGAAATAGCAAGCCTATCTTGAAAAATCCAATTATTTTTTTGGCATATTCTGATGATGAGCAGAGCAGATCAAAAGTTTTATTTTAACAGTAGTTGATTTACTCATTACAGCATTATTATTTTATTTAACAAATGCATTTCATTTGATAGAAGAATATTTTGCCTAAGGTTAAGTGTTGAGTCAATGTTGTTGGATAGCCATGCTGTTTTATAATTAAACTCAATGGTAGTGACTAGGATGCTAATACAGTGTGCGAAGGCTCTTCTTATAAGGCGTACGTTTTATTTTTTAGATTTCCTCCAGTTCTATGATAGTTTCTATACTAAGAATAAGTTTAAGACTAAAATCCTCAACAAATTTTGATCAATAGATAAATGTACAATATAAATCATGTGTGTGTATTAAATTTAGTTTTTCATACTTTTAGCTATAAAATAAAATAACTATTTATATTAATATTGCCAATGATTAATATAGTGTAGTATTTATTTAGCATAGATATTTATTCTTTATTATATTGTAAAGTACTATATTATTTTTCCAACTTTTCCAACAATTATCGACACAACTGTGTGCCGGAAATAGCCGTTACCTAACGGGTACTTTACACGGTTTCGCATTAATGTGCCAGGCCTGGACTTTAAGCGTGCACCGAATTAAATAATGACAAAGTTAGTCAAAAAACAATCCAATATTTAATAAAATTTCTAGTAATAACTATATACAAAATTTAGTAAAAATCAAATAACAATTTATTCAACGTAAATCAATTAAGAATAAACCCGACAAAACTCAAATCAATCTATTTTCTAAACTTAATTATTCCCCTTTGGAATTCGACAAAAAATTCAAAGACTTAACTTATGTACAATAATTCTTATGAATTAAAGGTCCTAATTGTCATCTCAATATACTAGGAACCTTTCCCTCAACTCTCAAGACTTTCTCTAATCTTCGATCCACAAATCGAATAACTTCAAAATCGCCTTGGAACTACTTTATCTTATCAGACACCTTTCTCTTGTTTGCTGATATGAAGCTCACCACAATCGTTGCTAACAGAAGCTCACCTCGGTCATTTTCACTTGAGGTTCGGTCTTTATACTGTGAGGTGACGTCACAATTCTGAGTGAGATCACTCCCCTCATTTACATACTTATTTGCTAACAATAAAAACTTTGTTTGTCTGGCAGCTTATTTTCCAACAATACTTGCTAACCTTTTACATTATTCTTTTTAACAATTTTTGGGATGTTTTATTCTTTAAGGTTTAGCAAGTTCCTAAGTTGTGCTTGTGGGGTCTTCCCCCCTTTTCTTGGTGCGGACTTACTTTTTTCCGCTCAGGAGCGCAAGTGTGCGCAAGTTTTATCTACGGCACTTTTCTCTCGTCAATGAGTTGGTTTCTCTTCTATTTTTAAGTTTCCTAAGGTGAGTGGTGAGGAAACCTTTGTCCTAACAAAACATAAGCCCCAAACAAAAATAGAATAGAAGCAAAAATAAAAATAACTAAAAAAATAATGCTCGGACTTGGTTCCTTACAATATTACGTATTATTACTCATCCAATCTTGTGATCAGGGTGTAATCCAAACTTAGGAAGCATACTATTATCACAAAATGAACAGTCAACTTCTACAAGACATGAAAATGAATGCAGAAAGCTGTCAATAAAGATCAGTCTTCTAGATGTTCATCATCTTTTTATACAAAACTGGGATGAAATTATATCAACTACAATTGTAAACTGATTCAAGCACAAAAATTAACTAATGCAGCAAATGAAGGTACAGCTGAAGAGGAAATGGAGGAAAGCAATGATGATTTAAGTCTCAATGATATGACATTATCTGATATCAATGCTTAAATAAAAACTGACAAAGGACAAAGGTATCTGCACTGAAGAACTTGCAGAAGAAATATATTTTACTGTAATGGAAGCAGCAGCTACAAAACACAATACTGATGCAGCTGAAGAAAGTGACATAACTAACCCTCAAATAACTGCCAAAATGCAGAAGTACTGGATGACTTATGTTGTAGAGTACAATGAAATCAATTTTAGGATGCAATATTCTTATGAATGCTTTTTCAATGATTTATTATGTAAAGACTATAGACAATCAACAATAAATGAATTTTTTATCACTTAATACCATGCAGGATACATTGTTTCATTTTACTCTTTTTGCTCTTTTTTCTTTTTATTATAAGACTAGCTGTTACCTGCAACTTCGTCCGCAGAGGTTTTGCAAGCAAACCCCATTTACATTCAATATTTCAATAACCATAGTAATTGTTATATAACACCTAACGCCGAGAATGATGAGAATTGCCGAGAATCAAATGAACTATTTTCAATTTGATCAATTTTCTGGAACGTTTACAATTGTTCTATAATCAAACCAATATGCAATAACAAATTCGAATTTAAAATGGTTGGAACATTTTTAAAATCAAAATAGATAAAAATATTTATAACAATGTCTGAAATGTTATCAATTTAATACACCTAAATACTCAATGAAGACTAAATGTAGTTGAAAACAAAAAATTGCATCTAAAATAGTACAGTAGAAGTCATTCTTCCGGTTAAGCCTTAATGCTCTCCCTCTCCCCCCGCAGAGAAATTTCGAAAAATCCCTTCTTAGTGTGCGTTTCCATGACGTACCCTAACTGTCTACCAAATTTCACGTCTTTAGGTTAAGTGGTCTGCTCTGGGCGATGATGAATCAGTGAGTCATTCATTCAGTCAGTCAGTCAGGACAAGCAATTTTATATATTTAGATTAAAATTTATTGAAATTGGATGTGATACACAAATATTAAAAATATAAGTAAATAAATCTAAAATTTATTTATTTATATCCATCCTGTATTAAATTAAAATATTTGTATAAAGTATATTGCAGTTATTATAGAATTTTTAACTGTCATATACCATTTATAGCAAAATCTAACTAAATTTCTTGAACTATTGAATTTATTTGTTATTTTATTAAAGTTATTGTATTTTTTTTTCCTATATTTGACACAGACTGTTGTCTACAACAAGTGTTTCACAAGAAAAATGAGAAAATCTTTCAAATTTTGCAAAACATTTTTAAATAATAACTTAATACTACTACATTTTTAAAAATAACTGTAATCCTAATATACTGTTTGTGACTATAATTAATATATAAACATAAAATGAAAATAATTTATGTTTGTAGAATGCTCTACATTAAAAAAATGGCATATACAAAATTACATTTGAAGTATCATAGTAAAACTTTTCAATTAAAGAATGTTATATGAAAAATATATTTAAGTATGCAATTACAAACACATTTATTTGTAAATTTCATTTGTCTGCTTTTTAAATATGTATAAATGTGATAAAAATAATCAATCATCATTCTGTTGATAATTGTATAATTATAAATTATAATTCCTATTTGAAATTTAATTACATACTAATTTTTATGGTTGTTATTAAAATGAAATAATTTAATATAACAAAATATGGAGAGTAGTGTTTTCACTAACTAAATTATAATTTTATACAAAAATAGAGACTAAGTATTATGTTAAGTTGAAGTAAATTAATAAATAAATAAGCAATTAATTACCTATAACCAGCGTTAATTCTCTTATAAATGAACGTTTTCTTCCATCTTCAATAATCATCATCAGGTTTCTATGCTTTGGAATGTTTGTAAAAGTTTATAAGAAAATTAATGCTGGTTATAGGTGATTGCTTATTTATTTATTGAATTCTATACCAGTAATATTGTGAGGATTATATGAAGTAAATTAATTTTTAAACATATTAATAATAAATTTACACACACCAAATAAAGTCTGAACAGAGTATCTTTTTAAGAATAAATACTTTATTATACATTATTTGCTAACTAAATTAAGTCATACCTGTGTTATTTGGTAAACCTGGAGGTAATCTAATTTCACAATGTTTCTTCTTGAATATATCTGGATATTTGGAAGATTCAAGTTGAGGTCCAAGATCTTCCTGAAATAATAATTTCAATTATTAAATATGGCAGACCAAAAATATCAACATTTATAAAAATTTACTGTAAAATTACTAATTATTTCAATGATTAAATAGTTATCAATACAAGCAGTTCTTTGCTCCTCCATATGTTATAAAATGGAACTATTATATTATAAATAAATTAATAATATTTGTAAACTGTACTTTTAAAGATTTTGAACATTATTCTTTATTTTAAAAAGTTTATTAATTAAATCAAACATCAGTAAATTATTTAATATAATAATCATAAATGCCTGATGATTAGAATTGTTGACAATCTCTGCATTGACGAAGGCTGAAAGGATTGACTTCAAACCTCTGGTTAACTCATCATACACAGCATTCAGCCATATACATTCCACCTCTTGAGCACAACATGGACATGTATATATGACAGTCTCAGGAAGACAAGATAAAACCTCATACATGTCATCTATATAAGTTATAAAGAAATAAAAACAAATTTGTATTATGTTTAATTTAAATTATGAGAGAGAGAAAATTATTATATTTATTTTATATTATTTGAACAAAGAGATAACAGAATATTGAATTCACATAAAAATAACACTTTTTAACCATTTCTATTAGTGTTTATAAAAAAAAATCTATATAACATACCATTATTTATAATCACTAACTTAACTATTAATTTAATAAACTTATTCAACCTACCTGTTATATCATCACACTTAGCATGGACCCATAAATGACATTTTGCACATTGCATCATCTATAATTAAAAATAATATAGTCAAAACATTAAATTTTACCAAGTAAAAAATTTTCTTTGCAAAAATTTACTAAAAGTTAATCAAAATAAGACATAAATTGTTTGAAAAGTTCAAATGTGTGCAAATTATTGGAAGATAATTTAATTATCTTTCTTCTTGCATATTAGTATTTATAAAAATTTAATGCATATTTACACAAGTTTGCTATTATTATTCCTTACTACTACAAAGAATGCACAAACTTACTTAATAGTGTTGATAATGTAATTTTCACATGTAAAAAATATAGAACTCTGAGGATTTTACCAAAAACTATCATAAGTAATGTACTTGACCAGTCCTATTAGATGAATCTGCTCATTATGATACAAAAATGATTTTGTTAAAAAAAAACAAAATAAATTTTCTCCTTGGCATCTTTTGATTGTTCTTTTCAGTTCTGTTATTACTTTAAGAGATATTGTTATAGTGTGTGGAGTTTTGCTTTAAGCTTGTTGCTTTTGTTGTTGCTTATATACAGTTTTATTTTTTTATGATTTTGGGAAGAATGTGTAAATATTCCGTAATCTGTTTCTAAAGCATTCTATTCCACACATTTATTATAACTATATTCATAAAATTTATGGGTTTTTTTTTGTAAACAATGATATGACAGTACTCAGGAAGATCTCTTTATGAGATATAGAGCTAAAAACAATAAATGTTATAACTCCATGACTATCTACTTAATCTATTTCCCACTTTCTAATTTTTCTTTATGTAGTTTTTCAGGTTTTCTTCATGTTTATAACATCTAAATAGGAAAATAGGAGACAGTTTCCTGTAGAAAGTCCTCCTGGGAGACATTCCCTTTTGGAAGATTGCCCATATGTCACATTCCTGTAAACAAATAGATCAAACCAAACTTGTAATCAATCAGAGAAAAGCAGAGTTCATTACAATTACATGTTGTATCACAAGAGATGCTTCTCAACTACAATTTAGGCTATCAAAATGTAATCACCAAACTTTGAAATTTTAATTGACACGTCAGTCCATAATTTGAGATAAAGAAGTTTTGGGAGGAAGTTATTTGAAATAAACATGAAAAAAAATATATAGAATTTAAGCTGAAAATACAAGGAAAAAAATTAATTTCAAGATAAACATGTTTGAGATAGATATGCTCACTGTGTATATTATATACAGGGTAGGCCATCGAAAACGAAACGGCAGAGTTATCGTGTTCGTCCAAGCAAATCGCTCAAACAGGTCGATTTTATTCTCAAGGGGGACATCTTCTGCAATAAACTTTTTGCGATTCTGAATACAACAGACAAAAAATTTTAAAAACTCATTCATTTTTTTATTCACTAAACAAACACTTATTTCGGGAAAAAAGTAACACAAACTATTAACAAACATAAAAAAAACTTTTTAAACTGGACCGCATATGCAAGGAAAAAAATATTTCCCCTTGAGAATAAAATTGACCTGTCTGAGCAATTTGCCTGGACGAATACGATAACTCTGCCGTTTCGTTTCATTGGCCCACCCTGTATACATACATATATATATACACACACACACATATGCATACCAGGGGCAAATCCTGACCAAAATTTTTGGGCAAGCTGAAAGTTATAATAGGAATAGTGGGTCTATCTCTATCGTTAACCCAGGGATCACCAAACTAAGGCCTGCGGGCCAGATCCAGCCTGCAAGGTCAGTTCATCCAGTCCACCGCCACACTGCCCATAAATGAGCTAAAATATAATTATTTATATGGAAATATCATAGATTGTAGATGAACTTACTATGTAGAAAAAATTAAAATCAATGTAAGTAAAAATGCCAGAAGTGGTCCAATCTGATTTTTGCATCTGACAGTACAGGTATACCTTGCCTTACATCGTTAATTGGTTCCAGGAGAGGCGACTTAAGTTGAAAAACGATGTAAGTCGAATTTACTTGTCTCTAGGCTAAACCACAAATAACCATTCCCAGTTCTGTATTTTATTTATAAATGCATTTTTAATAATATATGGTTAATAAGAATCTATTTTAAGCTTACAAATAAATAAATTTTTGTTTTTAAAATAGTACAGAAAAAAGTAATCTAAATTTATGAATTCATGTATGAACAGTACATACTTGTAAATATACTGTACATGTTTATGATTTGGCGATGTTTACAGTATATCGCAGACTCTTTATTTGTAAATGTGGTTTGCTCTAAGACATTATAAAATAAGATGATTTTGTAAGGTTAAATAACAAATACAGTTATTAAAATTATCTTGCAACAGTAGAAAATAAACTAATTTATATTATGTTTACCAATATCGAGTGGCGCTGACAATGACACCAAATGGTAGATATTGGAGCTACCATGGAAAACACCAATATTGAGCACTCAAAAGACCGCTAAATAAGACAACACAGAAACAGATGTTTTCGTGTTTCGTTCTCTAGGATTTATGATGATTATATTAACATTTACTGTACATATTTTAATATGATTTTATGTGCTTTAATGCTTTTCTAGTGATATTACAACTTCAATATTTGTGACGAACAGACATAAAGTCAAATAAAATGACTTAAACTTGATTTTTATTTTTCCATATATTTTTTGACAAATGACGTATAATCAAGAACAATGTAACTCCAGGTATACTTGTAATATAATTTTTAGGAAAATCAGTGAAATAAAAAATTTGGCAACTTTAGATATCAGAGCACTTTTTGTGTAAGTACTGTACCTGCAATAAAGTTTCTAATAAAAGCAATTATGAGCTTGCTGCAGTGATCATGTTTGTGTATTGGTAAATAAATATGTTGGTTTTCTTTATTTTTTGTGTATTCAGTATACTGTATTGAACAAAATGATTATGCAGCCCACACTCATCATTATCTCAGTTATCTGGCCTGCTGTAAAAAAAGTTTGGTGACCCCTGCATTAAACAATAGGCAGAAACATTATTTGGTGCAAATAAAATAATATATAGCAACAACGTATGTAACTCACAACAATTCATAACTTAGATATGAAACCACATAATACATGTATGCTGAATGGGAACTGCAAGCTTTTGACACAATCTGGTCATGTTAAATGCACTGAATGACATCATGTGTGTGCACTTGTTTGCTGCAGCAAACATCCACACAAGAAAGCAATTAAGTTCCTGCAAGTATCACACTGATTTAAAATGGCTATCCACTAGCTGTCAATGTAAAAGCTAACACAAATGATAAAAGAGTTTACATATTAGAATAAATTATTGGCACATTTGTTCTCATATAAAAAGGCAGACCTACCACATTTCTTCATTCTCTTTCAACTGAATTCTATACACATTTGACACACAAATGAAAATTTAATGGCATTACATTTGAATTAATTGAATCATTACTAAAATTACTATCAAATACTTCATCAATAAGTGATTTATCCTATGTTATTAAAAGATTTTAATACAAATGAATGAATACGAGTACAATATGATAAGAGTCTACTTAAACGAAACAAAAGAAAGAAAATGTATAAACTGGCCTTCTTTTCTGAATAGATTTGATATACCGTGTTTCTCCGAAAATAAGACAGTGTCTTATATTAATTTTTGCTCTGAAAAATACGCTAGGTCTTATTTTCAAGGGATGTCTTATTTTTCCAGGAAAAAGCATTCACATTTATTATTGAACAAAAAAATTCCCAAGTCGAACTTAGACGAGAGTGACATATATCCGGTGTGTCAAACTGTCGCCTTGTTATAGAGTCAACATCGGAATCGATGACCAATTAGTGCTTACTGAACCGTAGCACTATGCAAATGTCATTTGGCGTGATTCCCGGCCGACCAATTAGCCATCACCAGCCGTAACGTTATGCAAATCTGTGATTCCCAAGCCATAGTCTTATGCAAATCATGCCGTGTGGCGTAATTGTCTGCTGACCAATAAGTGGCTGTACTTTCAAAAAGCCAACGGCCACTTTCAACCATCTGTTGATGACCGTTACGACTAAAAAAAAACTTTGCTAGGTCTTACTTTCAGGAGAGGTCTTATATTTCGCAATTCCGCAAAATCTGTGCTAGGTCTTATTTTCTGCAGATGTCTTATTTTCGGGGAAACACGGTAGATAGATAGATAAAAATTCAAATTAAAATAAATGCAATATTAACTAATTTTAAATGAAGTACAATGAATTCAGATATCAAATACACAATTACATAATTTCTTTTTCAAATACAATTATATTCATATTTATAAAATAAAATGTATATTATAAACTTCTTTTTATTTTAACTTATTTCAGTAAAATTGTTATTTGATAAAAAAAAATTATTAACTTACATTAAATTGCAGCAAAGATTAATCAATAATATTTAATATGTATGTATGTCTCTTTAATCTGATATTGAGTTCGATAGACTATCATTAAGCTGTAATGATAGTCTACCAAACTCAATGTCGGATTAAAGAGAGATACATACATAGTACATAATAACAGCTATCCAAAAGTGATATTTAGAAGAATATTGGAAAATAATATTTAAATAGAAAATTCAAACAATGATACACCCAGTATCTTATATACAAGTTATAATTGTATTTATATTTTATGAGATGTTACTAGTAAACCTTGTGACAATTCAATATATTGCATATTGAAATTTAAAATAACTTTTATTTGAAATGTAATTGTATTCTTGAAACAACTAAACTTACCTTACTTTCATAATCATTATTATCATAACTCAACTGACAAATTGGACAATAACTACCTATATAAAAGTAAAATCAATTAGAAAATTTTAAAAATATTTATGATTATTTATTTTATTACCAAACACTATACCTTTAGTTTTACGTAGTGAACATTTAGAACAATATGGCATATCAAAATTCCAAACTGAACCTTTCTGAATGGTTCCACTGCAACTTTTGCATTTCATGCAAGTTGGACAAACCTAAAAGATAAAAAAATTTAAACTATAAAAAAATATGCCATATGTTATTTCTAAGCTAAAAATATTTCTTGTTTTTATTGACAAAAACATGCATAAAAACAATGAAAAATGCAGCTAATCCAAGCTGTTATCTAGCATATTAAGATCATATTTTATCTTTAAATATTTCTACATTAAAGCCAAGCAAACAAATTCTTACCCAGACATTCTTTTTTGATGGCTTTGAAGGATAATCTGGTCCAATACATTCTAAATGATAACATTTCATGCAAACTTTGCATTTCAAAAGCTTTAGAAAATAATAATAATTCTTTCAGTATGTTTTATTATTTTATTTCAAAATTTAAAAATTATATATATATA